GACTTGTGCTAAGGGCCTTATGGTAGGAGCATGGCACTTAATGCAAATTAGACTTTATCCCCAGGCTCCCCAATCCTATATATTCCCTATACTCTGGAATAGAGTTGAGCTGATTCACAGAAGTCTGTCTCTCAGAAGTCTGTCTCTGTCATACACACAGTCATCCTTACCCTGGTCCCTGCTTTCTACTTTCTCCACCATTATGGACCAATGCAGCCAATGAACCCCGAGGAAGAAGCATAGTCATGATGGTTTTATTCTCTTTTGTTCTAAGTTCAGGTTTTACTTTTCCAGTATGAAGTATTAGCTCTCACTGTCACAGAGCTAACACAGTAGACCCTCCTCACCTCGGGGATTTGTTTGCTGTATTTCTATAAACCCTTCCCTCCTCCTGGGCCACACAGTGGCCTGTAGAGGGTCTCAGGCTATGCTAATATGTGTGGAAAGCCTTTGGTAAGAGTGGGAATGGAGCTGTGGGCACCACACAGCTTCTAGCTCCAGAATGCTTGGCTTGTCTCCTCCTGGTGCAGTCAGTCAGAGAACACTGAAAGAGAAAAAGGAGGGAATGACCATGTTTGATGTAGAAATAATGGGCCAAAAATAAGTAGTAGAAACAATGAGGCATTGTAATGGCACGAAAAAATGTGCTAGGCTTTACTTTGAAGCGTAGTGCCAAAACCATGCCCAGACAACTAAGGAAATGTTCAGAGCAGGAGCAATAGTCATTCCCAGAAAGGAGCACATTAGTTCTTTACTCAATTCTAAATGGGCAGCCCTGAAAATGTACATACAGGTAGCATTACACAGAATAAGCAGCTCATATTTATGTGTTATATATACATACATGTTATGTACATGTATGTATGTAACAATAATTAAAGGGAAAGGCCATGAATAAAAAAAGGAGCAAGTTAGAGGCTACCTGGGAGGGTTTGGAAGACGGAAAGGGCAGGGACAAAATGGCATAATTATATTATAATCTCAAAAAGTATAAAAACACCACCCTCATGATTATGTCAGAGATGGCATTTGTTTGGGGACATCTTTGGTAGTTACACAAGAACCAGCTCTAAGGTGTTAGCAAAGGGGAGCCAGAGATACATTTGAGACCAGATTGTAATGTAAGGATCTACAGAGAGATGCTGGCTATCACTTGCATTTTTCCCATTTCATGTACTACGAGATCCCCATCAGGGAATGGTACCATCTATGGTGGGTTGTAGGCAACAGTTTCTGTCCAACAGCCACTCTTGAATAACCAGAGACTTAATATTTTTTAAATAAATATTTATTTAAATTAAAAACAAACTTATTTTTACATACCAATCCCAGTCCCCTCTCCCTCCTGTCCTCTCATGCTCCCCAGCAACCCCCATTCCACCCCCTATCCACCCTCCAGGGAGGGTGAGGCCTCCCATGGGGGAATCATCAAAATCTGTCACATCATTTGGGGCAGGACCTAGGCCCTCCACAGTGTATCTAGGCTGAGAGAGTATCTCTCTATAGGGATTGGACTCCCAAAGCCCATTCGTGCACTAGGGGTAAATACTGGTTCCATTGCCAGAGGCCCCATAGACTGCCCAGGCCTCCCAACTGACATTCATGTTCAGGGGACCTGGTTCAGTCCCATGCTGGTTTCCTAGCTGTCAGACTGGGGTCTGTGAGCTCCCACTTGCTCAGGTCAGCTGTTTCTGTGGATTTCCCCAGCCTGATCTTGACCTCTTTGCTCATCACTCCTCCCTTTCTACAGCTGGATTCCAGGATCTAGGCTCAGTGCTTAGCTGTGAATCTCTGCTTCTGCTTCCAAAAGCTACTGGATGAAGGCTCTAGGATGACATATAAGGTAGTCATCAATCTCATTATAGGAGAGGGGCATTTAAGGTAGCCTCTCCACTATTGCTTAGATTCTTAATTTGTGTCATCCTTGTGGATCTCTGGACATTTCCCTAGTGCCAGATTTCTCTTAAAACCTATATTGGCTCCCTCTATTAAGTTATCTATTTTCTTGCTCTCCTTCTCTATGCTTTCCCCAACTTGGTCTTCCTGATCTCTCATGTTCTCCTCCCTCCTGCTCTTCTCACCTTCTGTTTCTCCTACCTCCCTTTCTATTCCCCCGTGCTGCCAGTTTGCTCAGGAGATCTTGTCCCTTTCTCCTCTGGGGGTCCTTGTAGTATGTAGAGACTTGATATTAATTTTAAGTGCTCAGCTGATAGCTCAGGCTTACTACTAACTAGCTCTTACAATTTAATTTATCCATTTCTATTAATCTATGTATTGCCACGTGGCTCATGGCTCTACCTGTCCTCTAGCATGTATTGCTCCCTCTGTGTCTCCTGGAGTCTCCACTGACTCCTTCCCTCTTCCTCCCAGCATTTCACTTTGGCTGTCCCGCTTATACTTTCTGCCTGGCTACCAGCTTCAGTTCTTTATCAACCAATGAGAGTAATACATATTTACAGTGTACAGAAGGATTATTTCATAGCAGTGGGTGGACCTTCCAATCTTAATTAATGCATTTAAAATAATATCTTATAGGCATGCCCAGAGGTCTATCTATATGATTCTAGATTCTGTCAAGTTGCCAACATTAACCATGCCAAAGCCTCTGGTGTCATAGGGCAGAGTAAGGAGACAGAGAATAGGTAAATAGAGAATAGCAGTATCCTTGTCACTGACTGCAGGGGTTCAGCCAGAAGAGGAGCCTGGCCAGTGGCATGCACATAGGGCTAGCATGAGATGCTGATCTTTGAAGAGCTGAGATTTATGGCTTGTTGCAGCAGTTAATCTACTGGAATACATTGGTCTATTCCAATTTTATATATTATGACTTTTATATATGAATTTGTTTTCTGAAAGTGTCAAGGGATAATAATAATCTTCTAAAATATAAAAAGCTGAATCTCACAGTAATTTTTATAGACATGGTTAGTGATTCTATCTAAAGGTTATAAATACTCTGCTTTTAGACTTTCCAAACACATTCTGTTCACAATGGCCATCAATGAGGAGGAGAGTGAGGGAGGGGGAGAGATATAGTGATATATCGTATATGATAAAGTCACTGAAGATCAGAATGCAAAGCCAGCCACACTAGTTAGTCATAGAAGCTGGGCAGTTGTGGTGCACAACTTTAATTTCAGGACTCAGGAGAAAGAGGAAGATAAATCTCTGTAGATTCAAGGCCACCCAGAGCTACATGAGAGTGAATCAGTCTAAAAGAGAAACAGAGCTCAAACCTTTGATACCAGCACTTGGAATGACAGGCCTTTATTCCCAGAATTATGGTAGAATATAAGGCAGGAACTCACTGCAGTCTCTGGGCAATCTGAGGTTCTGTAGAGAGCATTGTAGTCTGTAGTCACCCTGAGGACAGGATTGCTCCTCTTTGATCTTAGCCTTGGTAGAGGTAAGAACTCTCTAGTGACTTGATTGCATTGCTTTCTGATCTTCAGCTTAAACCCAATATCTGTCTCTGGGTTTTATTATTAAGATCAATTGGAATTTGTGCTACAGAGGCTCATCTGAGCTGTATCACTCTTTCTATTAATATTCACTTCTTATTGGAAATTTTCTTCCAAGAGTTAACTACCAAAGAATTAACTGAAAGGATCAATTATATGAAATTAGTCTATGGGTTTAAGTAGCTAAACAAAACAAAACAAAACAAAACAAAACAAAACAAAACAAAACTCTATCCTGCATATATTTGGTCAACCCTAAGGAAGATGTTTTGCAATTTTAACTGTCACTTATTTAATCTTCATGCTACTTCTCATGACAGCAAACACATAATTTTTACACAACATGCTGAAATTAATTCAATGCTGCTCCCCAATGCCTAATGCAATGTCCAAGCAAGTGGTCTCTCACAGAAAGAAATGTCACCACCACATTCTGAGATTCTTTTATAACACAAAATGTTCAGATAGAATTTTCTGCCAAAGAGAAAATATCTATCAATACTGCAAGACTTTGTGTGTGTGTGTGTGTGTGTGTGTGTGTGTGTGTGTGTGTGTGTGTGTGTGTGTGTCTGTGTGTGTCTGTGTGTGTCTGTGTGTCTGTGTTTCAGACATGGTTTTTCTGTAAAACAGCTCTGGCTGTCCTAAACTTCATTTGTAGACCAGGCTGACCTTAAACTATAGAGATCCATCTAGCCTCTGCCTATTGAGTGCTGGGATTAAAGGTGTGTACTACCACCACTCAACTGCAAGACATATTTTAATACTTAATATTTAATAAGTCATTTGTTACAAAAAATAAAATAACACTTTAAGTTAGACTATCATCATTTCTATAAGAAGATTTTTTATTTTAACTGTTATCATCCTTTTTTATAACAATGAATATGTATTACATCAGAATAGATTGAGAACATTTTATAACATTACCACAAAAAGATTAAATTCTACCTCACTCTGTGTACTGACATGGCAAGTATCACTGAAATTTTCCCCAAATCAATTATCTTATTACTTGTTCTGTGTCTACTTTTTTGAAGTTAAAACCTTTACTATAGAATATACTTAACTTCTATGCTGCTGTATTAATTCCACTTGTTTTTTTTCTTGTTTTTGAGAGGGATGTTTTCAAACTGACACTTTTGCATTTATTGTTTTCTAGGAAATCCTAGGGCAGGCATCATCACTTAGAGAAATTTTCCTATTTCTGGGAGAAGATAAAGAAGGAAGTAAGTTTGTTAATATGGTCCTAAGCATCTTATTGTCATTTTGGACAAGTTGTATCTGTCATATCCTCTACTCTAAAAATCTTAATGATATGTCCTAATGAGATAGTTTCCAATTACAATGATATCATATTATACTCCTTGACAAATGGTTATTTACAGACTAAGATTTTACTCACTATATTAACGCTACATTATGAAGCGCCAAATCCCCAATATTTCCTCAGAGAACAAGCAGCTGCTTCAGAAGCAACATGAAAGTAAAGGTTGAGCCAGGCCATCATCAAACTCTGCATGTCACATGGGACTCCCAACTCTACTCATCCAGAACAGTGGACACTGTGGTGTTGTTAAGCTCACTGCTCACAGAAGCTGAGGTCAACTGGATGCTCCTGTCTACAGTGGGGACTCTCCCACCCACAGTCTCCTCAGTATTCCTCTTTGGCCTCAGCAAAATAATGAAGCATTTGGGAAGAAATATGCAGCCTAACAAGCCATAGCTGGATGCCAAAATGGCAAATATTTCCACGGCCACTTTGAATTTGCCTTTGGTGCTCAAGTAAGCAGGGACAAAAGAGATCCAGACAATGAAAAAGACCAGCATTGCAAAAGTGATGCATTTCCCTTCATAGTAGTTATCTGGCAGCTGGCGAGCCACAAAGGTTGTAAGAAAACACAGTAAGGCCAGAAGGACATCAAACCCAAATATGGAACACAGAAACTCTATAGAGCCTTCATTGCATTCAAAGATGATCTTTACATTTTGAGGTTCAATGTTCTTGTACATTCTCGGAGGATCCAACAGCAAGTAAGCTGAGCATACACCAATCTCCCCTAAAACACAGATCAGCACTATGAGTTTTCGAATAATGGGGTGCATGGATATAAGTCTGGTTTTGGATTTGGAAATCCTGTAGGCAAAAAAGAGTGAGATAGTCTTTCCGAGAATGGAAGACAGACAAAGGCAAAAGCCTAGTGCCAG